GCTAACAATAATGAGAGAGGAGACTGACTTCGGAGTACAGAAAACGGTGGCGGAGCGTTAGTTCACGTAAAACACACTATCAGCTGATCACACAAGACCACTGGCCAACCACCCACAAGATCGAGGTTAACGAGCCAGGACGAGACATTACTCTTTATCCTTTCTCTGAATGGCGTACAGTGTGACTTAGAAAGGGCGCCCATTGGTGAAAGGCATTATCGGATCGAATCGTATCAGATGGGCAATGGCGCTGGCCTGAGCACATCACACACCGATTTGACCTCGACTCGGGTTACTTGACTGGTCCTGCGAGCAAACCAAAGACCTGGCCTCGTTAAGTTGCGTGGCACGTACTAGCCTTGTGAGTAGCTATTGGGCACCAATTTTTGTAATTTAATGTAGCTATTTTTACATCCCCTTCGACACGGGTCTCCTGCGTGTGACAGCAATGCGCCCAAACACTATACCACAGACGACGGTCTGCTAGTCGTGACTCCATCAAACAGCATCCGACCGCAATCTTGAAAATCAATCATGTTTGACGTTTTAACGGATTTAGCCACAATGTACCATAACCGTAGCGTTTGCTCTCAACTGTATCAGACCATATCAAATAGGGATCAGAAAAAAAACGCTTTTCAGTAAGCACTTGGCTTCACTACAGTCTTTCAAACACACAAGGAGAGTGCGCAACACTAGATGGCTACACGGATATCAGCCCATAAGCCACCAAGCGTGACCTAGCGATAGAGGACAAGACCGATCAGAAACAACGTGACTCAGCGAGAATGTGACGTCGAGATCACAGCAGCACATTAGACAATACAATTGCAGTATTATACACATCTGCATCGATTGTTTCCACTTACGAGAAAATAGCTCAATTAATGACTGAGAACACAATGAACGGGGAAGTGACAAAGCAAATCTCTGCTAGGCAACCGGTTCCGGGATGTAGATTTAGTAGTGCTAATCCGGGATCAAACAAGACGTTTTTGTTTTATACAAAATGAAAAAAGTGAACTTGAAAGAAGACTGTAGTAGTAAAGAGCATAGACGCAGACTGAAAAGACAGCAGCCGTCCCATGGAAAAAGGCAGCTTATATACAAACCAAACCCCATTTTCTTGACGCCAAGAGTCGCTCAAAATAAAAAACAGAACTAGATCTATCAACTTGCTTCAGTTGGACTAGATTTGGGACATGGGGTGTCTTTCTAAACGGGGAAAAAGAGGGAAGGGGCTGAAAAGGCACAGCAGAAAGAATGGGTGGGTTAGGGTGGAGTCAAAAAGTGGGGAAAACCCAATGATAACAGGATACGCCCAATTCAAATGGAAGGAAGTGAATAACAGGTATTTCGACAAAATAACACAGGTAGAGGAGGCATATGAAGTCAGGGTGGACGGAAAGTACAATTTACTCACCTTTTCTCTCCCCCAAATTCACACTTGACTTTCAGCTCCGTTCGTTTCTGCAGACAAAGAATGAAAGGTTAGTCTTCCAGCGACACAATGTGAGAATAACAATATGACAAGAAAAACAGATGACGACTGCAACAACTTAAATGTAAACCTCAACACTTTACACCCACATTGACACTATTTAGGTAATTTAGGAAATGGGCTGTTTTGAGTCTACCTATCAAGGCCAACCCAGTTTGAGAGGGATACAACGTTCCCAAAGACAGACAAATATACTCCATAAAATCCTCTACACTTTGAAATCGAACACACAGCTTGTTCAAGCGATGGCCAAACGCCTCCCATTACACCAAAAGAAGCCCACCTAACGACCGCTGTGTCCTTAGCTAGAAAGTTCAAGTTTTTATTAACGCACGTTTAGAAAAGTATAGTGTTCAAATATCCACGTATGTCACTTGAGAAAAAGGAAAGTGCACGTAAATTCACATGTCCAAAAAAACGGGGGGAGGGG